AGTGTGCATCGGAATCATTCATATGGCTGTCTCTTTATTAAGCGTACCATATTTGCAGGCTAGTTCACAGGGCGGCCGAACGGACACCACCCAAAATGGGGCTCCGATTCCTAAAAAAAAACTGGCCCATTTATATCTCAGGGGTCCAACTCCCACCTCGAAAAACTCCCTCGCGATTTCCAATGGCATCCATCATCAGAACTTCAACGCGCTATTTTCTATAAAACGGAAACCTGACCCAATCCAAAACCCGCCCAATTGGTGGCCGTCTTTTCGATGGTCGAAACCTACCAAGAAGTTCTCAAGGTCTTTGAGCCGCCTCTCCACGTCCGAGCCGTGGTCAAACACTTTCAGAGGCCTTGGAGCCATACAACACTTCACAGAAACGCCCAGGAACTCCTGATGAATGCAAACTGTCGCAAGATCAACCACACAGGTTGATGTCCTGAGCACAAAGGACAAGTTGCCCCAGTCGGACATTGGCCGCAAACCAGCCAATTTCCAAATCCGTCTGACAGCTCCCATGTTTGTGTCGCGTCCAAAAAAGAAGTGTCGTTAAGGCCCTGGGTGCCTTGAATCCGGGGAGTCTCGTTCTTGAGACAAGCCCATAGAGCCACCCACTGAGCCTTGTACATACCGGGTGTCAGACCCTTCCACAAAGCAGTTCCCTACAGGGTTGGCATGAACCAATATTGGCAGCTGACACAAAGGAACCTTCAACAATCACTTTCCGAATGGCTATGTGTCAAAGGGGCACCCCCAAAATCGCGATGTCTACTTTGATTTTCACTCGAACCAGCCTTGAACAAGGAAGGGCGCGCGGGAAAGAAGACACACCCCGATTGGTTCATCAGCGTCTTTGGGCAGCCTCCGCCCGGCGCGCCTGGCATCTTTCAGGGCCTGGCACAGCGAGATCCGTCGGATTCACTGCCGGGTTGACATAGGAGGACCCTCACGAGAAAGAGAAAGAGAAAGGGAAGGAAGAAGAAGAGGAAGAAAAGGAGAAGAAGAAGAAGGAGAAGAAGGAAAGAGAAAGAGGGAAAAAGAGAGGAAGAGAGAAAGAGAAAGAGAAACGGAAAAAGACATATATATATATATATATCGAACCCTCCAAAGACATACTCTACTTTCAATGGAGAGCTCTCCGCCCAACGGACCCGCCTCCTCCAGCTGCTGCTCGCGGTGCCGCTTCTTCAGCAGCTCCTCCTGAGACTTGGCGAGGGAAGACTCGTGGCTGACCCCATATGGCCATGGGTCAAAAGCCCGGTTATCCCCCAGTGAACATCCCAATCCAACCACTAAATAGGTTCTAAAATGGGTGGTGAATTCACCTACCAACCAAGATGGGATCCCATTGGTTTTGACCCACAGCCATATCAATCAACCCAATTAATATCGGGGTGTCCCTGCGTTTAGTGGGGAAGCAGCACTTTTGGAGGGGAACACTCCCAGTGGTTGGACACAAATCCCGACCTCAATGTCCAGCAAAGAGTTAGGTGCGGAAGAGGAGTCTACCCAGAAGTCTTCCCAAAACCTTCCAGCCCACCAAGATCCAGGACAAGACTCTGCCCGAAAGAATCCCCGAATCAGAGAAATCCAGTCAAGGAGTAGCTAAAGAATTGCACAACCCCAAGTTGTCGTGGCTGAGCGCCATTACCCCGCTTTTGACTTTGGCCCAAAGATTCCCGCAACCCGATGGTCAAAGACGTTGGAGCAATTCTCTGGAGCAACACGATTTAGATTGGCCTCTTTTAGCGGCTTTGCAAAAGAATGCCTGCATTTGCTGCAGCTTCTTTGTGCTTGTGCAGCTTCGAACTGCATCTCATTGCCAGCGATGTGTCAAGTGCTTTGATGGCTTAGTGCTTTGCAGTTCAGACCACATTTGTGCGTACACTAAGGGCGAGGCTAACTTGGTGGTGTCTCAGGCAAGGTCGGGCTAACGCTGGGCAGTGGCATCCTTCCTTTGGGTGGATCATTCCCTAAAGGGATGTGGTCCTCTCGAATATTGGGTGAGACTAGTGTTCCAGGTTTGAACAATCGTGTTCAGTTGTGTTCTATGTATTTTCTTCCTGCATAGTATCCACAAGCCTACTTCATGTTTCATGCCAGATCACTCCTGAGCTTGCCAAGCATTCGTCAAGCCAAACAGGTTGTTGTGAAAGGGGGGGCAGTTCTTCGAAAGGTTCGGGTCTCCCTTCGAACAGCCACCACCGTTTTTAAAGGGCCTAAGACACGTTTGTGTCCTCCCACAACTTTGTCCCTTTTGGTTGTCTGAAGGGACCCAAGTTTGACATTAGGCCACCCCAGAGTGGCCAAGACTTAAACTATAACGTACCCGCAGACCGCCCAAAGATAGAGGCCGAGTCTTGAGCGGGGATCGGTGAATGGCCGTGGCTCATCTGACACTCCAAGCGCTTGGTGCCGCACACTGTGAACGTGGAGCATCGAGCACATCTTGTGGTGTTGGTCAGAGTAATGACTGGCTCAGTGAGTTTCAACACGGGAGCTCCATTCGGGCATCCGTGGCAGTAGCACTGGCAAGTTTGCACCAAAGGCGGTGAGTTGTTTTCCGTTGATGTGTCTGTCAACCAACCTGCAAAACGGTATCGTCAATAACACAGACCCAATAGCGTTGTGACAATGTTGGGTACCCCCAAAAGGCAGCTGTTAAGCTCTGACAAAATAGGGGGCGGCCTCCAAAATGTGTTTTTTGTTTCCCTCCAAACCAAGCTGAAAAGGGTGCCCTTTAAAAAAGAACACACACACACACACATTTTGTGCGACATCTTCAGAACTCGCTGTTTGTCCTCCACACGTATCGTGAAAAAATCAGCCTTCAAGCGGAGTTTTCGTCATTGGTCGCCTTTCAAACGCGGCAACCAACACGTGGCAAGCGGCCGCCAATCCGTCCTGCAGCCGTTGGCGCAGGGCCGGCGCGCCCAGCGTGCCTGCGTCGCTCGGCTAGAGCAGGGACGTCGATGAGACTTGAGCAATGTCCACCTGACAAAGACATCAGCAATGGTGCGGCTTCCCTCTCATTGCAAGTTTGGTGGTGAAACCCATTTACCCTCTACAAGAACCAGGAACCGGTTCAAATCCAAATCCAAACCACCGGCTGCAAACCAGCAATAAACCCTGCCATCCGGGATGAGCCACATCCAAATGCGAGACAGCAGCAGTCCACATGACATCAAACGGTTTCCAGACCCCACAGAGTGCGTCAAGTACACACATGAGTATGAGTTGGTTCAAATTGATCAAGCATATGAAGAACATGCGAGCAAATCATCGCCAACGTCATGAATGGGTGCCCGGGTCCCTCCATGCTCTGCCATCCTTGTGCAATCCGAATCCCCGAAACACAGGCAAGCCCAAATAATTAGAATTGACTTACTTGAACACCAAATTGAGTCATGAGTCAAGATCACAAGATAATGACAACATACTCCCCTGTTGACATGGAACCTGAAACCCCGGCCCGAGGAAGGACCCCTTTTGGGGGACCCCTTTTGGGGGACACCCTTTTGAGCTTCCACGTGAATTTCCGGGGAAGGACTGCCCGCCTTGGAGGCGCGAGCGCGTCTCCTTGAGGCGCCGCGCCTGGCAAAACCGCGTGAGGGGCCGATGCAAAGATCCCCTGTTTCACACCACTGAAACCGAGAGGCTCCCTTTAAAATGGGTACCTTTAAAGGGGGTTCCCAAGAAATGAAATTAACTGGAACCCCATAAGATGTTCCCTTTTGCTTCCCCTTTCAACCAAAAGGGTACGGCTCTCACAAGAAAGATATGAGATCTAATTCATTTACCCTTCCCAGTAAGATGGAACCTGACAGGGTCCTGGAAGACAATTGTCCTTTTAAAGGGATCCCCCATGAGCTTTGTGAATTGGGAGGGCACCCCGTTCTCCGTCAGCGCGAACAGGCCTTTGGAGGCCAACTTGACCCCACTTCAACTCTTGCCCTTTGAGCTTTTGGATAGCCAAGGCGATTTTTCTTCAAATATTTGGCGGCCGCGGCAATGAGGGGATGTCAATCATGAACGTTCATCCATGTTCGCACACGGCATGCATCAGCAATCACCAAAGCAAACAAGAATGCCTGAAAAACGCAAACTGAACCGCTGAAGACACCACCCCTCACGCTGCTTGCCTCATTCACGCGGCCTAAGAATGTGTATGGCAGGCTGCAGGGCCCCAAGGAACTACGACGAATTCATCTGGATTTCCCGCGATCCGGATCATTCAACAAGGGTCTCTTGTATGACACCTTCAAAAACGGACTCGCAAAGTCTTGCACGCATGTCCATCAAGGTAAATGAGAACTGCGGATTAGTCAAGCCACGACACGGGTTTGTCCAAACATGGGGAGCCACATAAAGGGATGAATTCATTCTGGATGTCCCACAAACAAAAGGGATGTCAAGAGCAACACCCACGCCGAAAGAAACACCGGGTTTTGCGGCGAACACTGAGGTTTAATTTTGACTCGAATTGTCTTCTGTTTTGTGTGTACTTCAGCCCCTCACATTTTGGTCCCACCGCCCAAGCTGCACCAAGCCCAGTTGAACCGCTTTGGCATGATTGTGGTGCCGTCCACGCAAGGCCTGGCTTTCTCTACTATAGCCTCGGCTTTCCAGCAAATGCGTCAAGAAACTGGACCCCGAGTCAAATCCTCCCCCGAACGCGCTCATAGCTCCCGCGCCTTTTCTCGGGAATCGTGCCAAAACCAATGGCTAGCGGTGTGCCTTTGCACGTCGATGTTCCAGTCTCAACCTATTCCTAATTCCGATGTATGAGTACGTCTCTTCTGCTTTTTCTCGTGTTTGCGCACAACATCAGTGATCCAAGCGCTGAAATAGACAACGCGAACGAAACTGCAAAAAATAAATATGGTCCGACTGCGCAAATGCAAAAGAAGTTAACCAGCAACTGTCTGGAGCAAAGGCCCTCTCGGGGCTGGTGCATGGGTATTTCAGACATCCGACATGTGAGACTAGCGGTCTCAGGAGGCCACTGGCTCAGGATATGCCTCAGGGCTGAGGCAAAATCTCACCTGGATTGGAACGGATCTATTGCCCCACTGGCCATGTCCATCCATCCAATACCTTCCACTGGGTTGGTAGCAACAGGACCAACCACCCTCAAGAGTCACCCTCTGGATACATTGTGCTTTCCGACATACACAACAATATAAAAAAGCACATATTGCACATATGCATTACGCACGCCGGCACGCCTGCGCACCTATTTAGTCACGGATACGCGCACACACACAAAGATGTCCACAAATGAAACAGCTCCCGAACATATGATCACAAACTCACACACACACAAGCACACAAAACACAAACACACATATACAAACACGACACACACACACACACACGCGCGCACGCGCACGCGCACAGTCAACGCTAACACAAGCGACGCGCACACAAACAGATGTATGTGCACATTCATATCGATACATATATATATATATAAATACGCACTCACACGCGTCCGTCTCCGCGTACTTTAAACACCAACCTTCACACCTAGACGCCAACCCACACAATCACAACCAAGCCCCAACCTAGATGTTCAGTTGCTGGATTGCCGACGGGGGACCCTTGGTGATTTGCCTCGCCCCCTGAAACCAGCGGGACCCCTTCAAGTGCTGGTCCGCCTGTAGGTCCACAGGGTTCTTCGATGCCCGGCTTTGACGGTGCTGTGAAATCCCTGCGCTAGCATAGGGAGGAACTTTGCCAGAGAGTTGTTGTTTAACTGATATTCCCTTTCTGTCCGTGAGGATTCTAAACCCCAAATGCTTGGAGGTGGCCTCTGCTTGCACCCGACTGTCTGTAAAGCGAAAGGGGTCTAAACCCCAGTCACTTCGGCCTCGGCCAGGGACAGCTTGCACTCATTCAGCAGGCTGTCCTTGTCGCAGCCGCTTGCCAGGTAGGGCTTCCGGTTAAACACCCGCATGACCATGGGCACGAAGTGCTCCAGCGGAAGAGAGTCATACGCCTCAAAGAGCTTTCTTTTTTAATTGCAGCCGATTTGTTCCAAGCAAGCAAGCAAGCAAAGCAAAGCAAGCAAGTAAGCAAGCAAGCAAAAAAAGCAAGCAAGCCAGCAAGCAAGCAAGCAAAGCAAAGCAAAGCAAAGCAAAGCAAAGCAAAAAGCAAGCAAGCAAAGCAAACAAGCAAAACAAGCAAGCAAGCAAAACAAGCAAGCAAGCAATCAAGCAAGCAAGCAAGCAAGCACGCAAGCACACAAGCACGCAAGCACGCAAGCAAGCCAGCAAGCCAGCAAGCCAGCAAGCAAGCAAGCAAGCAAGCAAGCCAGCAAGCAAAGTAAATAAGCAAAAAGCAAGCAAGCAAAGCAAACAAGCAAAAAAAGCAAGCAAGCAAGCAAGCAAGCAAGCAAGCAAGCAAGCAAGCAAGCAAGCAAGCAAGCAAGCAAGCAAGCAAGCAAGCCAGCAAGCAAGCAAGCAAGCAAGCAAGCAAAGCAAACGAGCAAGCACGCAAGCACGCAAGCACGCAAGCACGCAAGCACGCAAGCACGCAAGCACGCAAGCACGCAAGCAAGCAAGCACGCAAGCAAGCAAGCAAGCAAGCAAGCAAGCAAGCAAGCAAGCAAGCAAGCAAGCCCAGCAAGCCAGCAAGCCAGCAAGCCAGCAAGCCAGCAAGCCAGCAAGCCCAGCAAGCCAGCCAGCCAGCCAGCCAGCCAGCCAGCAAGCAAGCAAGCAAGCAAGCAAGCAAGCAAAAGCAGGCAAAGCAATGAATATGGCGAACACGGGGCAAGCATACTTTCCAACTTGCATAATTTCCAAATTGAACCTGGTAATTTCCCTTGAGAGCAAATCCCTGAGAAACAGAACAAGAACCATCAAGTTTCACTTGGCTACATAATAAGTGGTTAATGTGGGTCTGTCTTTTTCAGGAACCGGACACCAAAATGGTGTTCCTTTTGGTTTCCCTTTGAAACCAACCACAAGGGTACCCTCAAAACAGGACCACCCCACGCACAAGTGATACGTTCTGGTCGACAGGTCGCGGGGTCAAAGGCCGGTGAGTCGTACCTCTCGCAGAACCGCTCGCAGGCGGCAAAGTGGGGGCTGTACTTGAACTTGTCCCGCACATTCCTCAGCTATGTCTCTCACAACCCTTGGTGTGATAGGTTTACAGGGCAACCAACATCAATTCCTCAGATGTGTGGCTTTTTCCGAGGGTGCCCTGGGGTTGGTTGAAAGAGAAGCCAAAAGGAAGCCACCCTTGGGAAGTTCGATTCCTATGTTGAGACAGACGATGACCCCACTCCTTGGTGGCAAAATGGAAAGGCACCAGGGCCCCAGTCAGCTTCGCGCACCGTGGTTCTCCAGAAAAGAACCAGGAACCGGTTCAAATCCAAACCACCAACTAAGGGTTGCCTGACCTTGGTGTCCCTTTGGAAAATGGCTTGCGCTGGACCCCTGTTGTCAAAACCAGAGCCGAACTGAAAAGGAGCGGAGTTGGCTGGCGTCCGGAAACAAGGAGGTCTCACAAACGTGCAAGGTGGCATGTTAATCCCTTGTGAACCCTTGAGGCAAGGAGTAGAAATCAATGGTACCGGCTGACATTAGACATATGCACACACTCCACACATATGTAGGAGACAAAATATCTATGCATGTCTTACACACACACACACACACACACACACACACACACACACACGCACACACAAAAAAAATACGGGCTCCGTACACAAAATCTCGCTCGAATGGTCCTCAAAACAATTGACCTCTGACTCCGCAGACCCAATTTGGATAGCGCGGGAGTCTCCAAATTCTCAGGAAGCCTGCTGCAGATGGACAACATCCCCGCCAGCACCAGTTGGGATGGTGAAGTCCTATGCGTTTCTAGGATCCACCTACCAACTGCTGACTGGATTTCGTCCCAGCTACAAGGGCTTACATTCTGATAAACGCGAAGCCCAGAAACCATGCAACAAGTTTCTAGAGGAAAAGCGTTTTGGCCACGTGTTCAACCCTTGGGTCCCATCTCAAGGGGGGTGCCCCATGTCAGGAAACTTCTCCTTCAGCTCAAAGGCATCCTGGTAGTAGTAAGCCTTCGGAACGGTGAAAGGACCGGGCTTAAGGAACGAGAAAGCTGACCGATCAAGTGGATCGGCAGGGGTCCCAGTTGTTGGTTTACCACCCCGAATGGTCCAAACCCAAAAAAGTTCCTTGAACTCAGGGAGCGAGAAAGTCAGCTGTGGTTGTTTTCCGCGTCGGAAGCAAAGACCTAAACAAATCCGGAGCTTTGGATGCTTAATGCCGGTTTTCAAACAGTAAAAGGGTCAGACACTAGCCAAAAAGTATGAGCGGCGAAGGAATGAACCATAGAACATGAGATCATGAGTGCTGCTGTCAGTTGCTCTCATAGGGCACTCAATCAAATCCTAACATCCAACCTTCGGCAGGCTAGAGGTTTTCAACCACTTCCCACAGAAAGGACAAGAGCCTCTGACTGAATCGGAGGGTGTTGGGCGTTGCTAAATGGAAGACGCGGGTAGAGCCTTAGGTGTCTCCTGACTCTTGGGTAATTATATAACGGAACCCTTAAACATCGAAAATTCATGTCCAACCACTTTTGAGGTTGTTCAACAAATAGAAACACTCATTTCGATTTATGAATGCTTGACTGGCAACCATCAGCTCACTCACTTGAGAGTTGCAGCGATGTCTCGCAATGTCTATCATTCAATGGCGTGGATTCAATGGGATTATCTGTCCAGCTATCTTACTCAAGGGACCCTTGTAGAACGTCATACGGGGATCCCAATTCGAATTATCTCCACTCTGCTGCTTTGTTCGTTTTTTTGAGGCTGTCCTACAGATGTGCTCGGGCACGTCCACACAGAACCACCTCTCCTGTCTTGACATATAGCGACCAACACAACAGCCCCCCCCCCCCCACGCCTGGAAAAGCTCGTGATGCTCGAGGATCCAGTAGTTCTCCGGGCTGATGTAGGGCCTATTTCCACGCGCCACACGGAACTGTCATAGTTCGGACGTGTCGGAAATGGTTCATGGGTACTTCCACTGAACCCCAGCAAATGGATCCTTTCAGGCGGGCAAGCATGAAATGTTGAAGGTGAGCAAATTCTTCGGCTGGCCAAGACTCACACACTATCCACCTCATCAGCCCGAGAGAAGGCATCAACTTAGCTTCTCCGATGTCTGGTTTCCCTGCAGCTAAGACGTGAGCAGGTCTCGCAGGCCAACGCTTGCAGACTTTGATTGCAGCATCTGCAACTCAGAACGCCAACTCGGCATCACTGCATGTCAGGTGATCCTCCGCAGCAACTGTTGGAATGGTGTAAAACTTGGGCCGTCTCTTGAAACTCCTCTCGTTCCTCGAAGTCTTCTAGGGGTTGAGGGATTGGAACCCCACCCAGGGTGCTTGAGACAAAAGACGGCTTGATGAACATCTCCAGGGCCTTGGTGAAACAAACTCTCCCGACCATTTCCGGAGCTTGGGCCTCAATAGGCTCGCTGCCACCTCTCCGTGGTTGATGGGTGACAGGGCTTCCCCAATGTCGTGCAGCAACGCCTCAGTCTCTCAGCGATTAAAACCCTCAGACCCCACGCCCCGACTCAAAGCGGAAAATGCTCAAGGCACTGATTTCGAGATTGCCAGTAACTGAAAGGCTGGGGAATATGTCTTCAGTTAACTTACCAGCTTTGTCTTCCGTCAAGATTGCCAAAGTCCCCAAACATATCCGGTCCATGCTTGGCTCAGCCAAGGCTTCGGTGGCATTCATCACGCTTCCCAAATAGATACCCCAAACCATGTGAGCAAAAAAAAACATGGGTGTGGCATTTTAGGGACCCCCCCCCCAAAAAAAAAGCTGTATTCCTTGTGGTTTCCCTTCAAAACCACCCAAGAAGGGATGGTTAGCCCCTGGTTGCCATGTCGGGCCACGATTGATGGCCACTCTTTGAGGAAGCAGCGGACCAGTATTTGGGAAAACCCGGGGTGTAGGTTTTAGGGTTCTGGTCAGCTGATATTCGAGTCTTGCTTGGGTTCATGGGGCCAACCCTTCCGGTTCGAGAATCCCCTGGCACGCCTCCCTTCTGTTTCGTGTTGACCAGGCTTTGGTTCAACCCCCCCCCCCTCCTGTTGGGTCGCAAGTTGCCACACCCGAAAGAAACACGCCCGACCCCCCGGACGGACCGATGGACCGACGGACCGACGGTCAACTTCACCCAGTCGGGGAGCGACCACCACCGTCTCCTCATCGGCGCCGTCTCTGAGCGCCAGGGTCGCAGTCTGCAGGCCGTGCTCGTAGAGGTCCACTGCACACCCGATGTTCAGGCCCTCTCGCAGATTCGGATTCGGGCTTCCCACACCATTCGAGCAAAAGAGGGCAAAACACAAAATGGTTGCGGTGTGCAAATATGTTTTCTATACGTTCGTATACAACTGCCAAAGATGAGCATCGTTTGAGAGCTTTACTGTGCATAAAATGAACAACAATCGTGACAATCGTACTTTTGTTTCCATGAGGATGTGATAGCGTCTTATTTATCTGTTGGGGCTGGAAATCGACTGGTAGCATCTGCGCGCATGTGTTTTGTCAGCCACGAGTCATTTTGCGCAAGCCGTCACGATGGTCTCGCAAACATACTGGCGGACCCTAGCCAGGGCGTTGTCCACAGTTGCCATTTTGGCATGCCCTTTACAAAGCGCGCGCGTAGGCTATGATCGAGATGTTCATCAGCCATTCCCTGAGCTCATCTCAACTCTACATGATTCAATCAGAGGCCCAAAACGCGATGTTTAAACGATCTGCACAGGAGCCGTTTTCTCGACCGTGCAAAGCCCAGCACGAGTCTCTGCAATACGCTTGATTCCCTATACACCCACACACACATGCACGCAAATCATCACACGCATGTAAGTGTATCTCTCTCTCTCTCTCTATATATATATATACACATGAACATCTACATACATGCATACATATATGTACAACCTCTACATTGTACGTATTACACAATATGCATCCGATGAATCTATATATATATACACATTTATCTGTTTATTTACATATTTAGTTGTGTTGTTGTTTTATCTATTTATATAAGTACGTGTGTCCTAGCCTTCTGATCCCGGAACATCTGCAGAACCCGCTCGGCGTTCTGCGCGGGGGAAGCGACCTTGTTGAAGCCCGCCATCATCGCCGCCGAATCTTCCTGGCTCGTCTTCGGGTACCCTCCCCACACTAACAGCCGGAAGCTCCCGAACGGACCCCTTTGCAAGACCTGGGTCCATTTACGGGATCGGCCTTCTGGAAGTGCGATATGATGGGTGTGGCTCAAAATTGAAGAGCTGGGGTTACGCAGGTTTTGGTCTTTGTTTCCAAACAGTGGTACCAGTTGTTTGAGCCACAGCCAAATGGATGGCCTCGTCTTGTTTGGAGTAACAGAACAAGAGAAGCAACTCGACCTCCTACCTCATTGTGGGAAAAGGGCCCTTTCTATACCAAAGTAGGATTCAATCCCCAACTACTTGTTACTTAGGGGGTTCTTTGTTCTTTGGTATCAGAGAAACTGGCTCTGAAATCCAAGTTTCCACTGCTTGCTTTCGATCTCTTCACAAGGGTCGACAGCTGGTCCCAAGGAAAACAGGATCCACATTCGACTTGGTTGCGTTGATTCGGAGCGATGGTGTCTTAGGTGGAAAAAATTGGCAGGGTCGCGGCGAGTGCTTGAGCCAGGGTGTGCCATTTGTCCTTAAAAGGGGGTGGGGCCTGTTGAAAAGCATCATTCACCAATCTTTTTCCGGGGGTGGTGGGGGTGGCAGAACTGTTGCCCAACCCTACGTTTGTGGAAATTCATATTTGTGTGGAAAAAATATTGAGAAGTTCACAAGGACGCCGCTCAGAATTGCAGACCGTCCGAAGGTGCTGCAACACCTTCGCTTCACACCTTTCCAAGCACAAATGACAAACCAACGTTCCAAGCGGGAAACCAGAAAACAAAAACAAGCACACCTCCACTTTAACTTACGAGTCGGAAAAACAAAAAAACTCGGGGCCCCTTGCGAGAACGTGGCCAAACGGATTCCGCGCGCCTTCCGGGCCTTTTTCAGATCCGTGAAGCTGGCGCGATCCTCGCCCTTCCGCACAGTGCCCATGGCGCTTGCAGGCTCCACGTCCGGCGAGCTAACACGGCTGAGGTCAACTCGCTAGGCCAGCTTTAAGGGTATACCAAGGCCGACCTCCGCTACTGGGCTGCCCGTTTTCAGATCCCCCGCTAAAAGTTTTTAGGCTGAAAAGCTAAGGGGATGGCTGGGAGCCACCAAGGATAAAGGTGGGGCTTTTTTCGAGGGAAGCCCCTTGTTGGTAAGTTCTGAAGGGAGACCTCCATTTTGGTGACACCAACAATCACACCCACACAACCGCACGCATGATTGTACATTTGCAAAGTACCCGGCAAACCCATTGTTGCAGTCATTTCGGCTTCGGAGGCCGACTCAAAGGGTTCAGTCCGTGCCATACTCAAAATTCAAACCTCCGCCGGAAATCAGATATCTCTCGTACTGCTTCTTCCTTTTGCTGGGGGGAGTGTTCAAGCTGGGGGGGCTTGTAGATTCATTGTAGATGTAGCAGGATCCGCCTCTAAATCAAGGGGTGGGATTCCAACGCGCGAAACAAACATCGCAGCATTGTGTCAGCACTGACCATTTCCCCTAGGCCTTGAGTTCTGTGCAAAAGAAAACTCCAATTTGTGCAGCTGGAAATCACGGATCCCTCCAAAAAACAAAACGACCCTTCATGCTGTGGCTGGTCGAAATCCACAAAATGCACCAGTTGGGAGGGGGTTTACCCTGTGAACACTGGAATAGACCAATCCAAACTAGTACGTTTTGTGGATTGTGTCCATCAGGCGAATCTTCTAGCTTCCTTGACCGGCCTGGCTGGTGATTGGCAACCTGCCCCTTTGCACCTGCTTGCTTGTCGGTAATGGGGGAATACAAGGGCCAAAATTAGATTGGGTACTTTAAACCCGTAAGCATGCTTATAGTGGCAGATTGTCTTTACAACCCTTGGTAGGGTAGCGAAAACATATCTTTTACAGCCCACCCCACCCACCAAAAATGCACAGAACCAAAACATCTAAAGGAGCCTAAAAACATGCCAACAACAACAGTGAAAATATGAGTAATTCTTGTTGGTCACCCCTAAAGCGGTCTTCTCAAAAAAAGTACAATAATTCCAGGAACTCAGGAAGTTAGTGGTAGATTATTTGATTTTTTGTTTAGGCCCTGAAAGGAAAAGCGGTGGTCCACTGCTGACACTCGCATCGCGCCTCGCGCCTCGCCTGCAGCTCCTTCTCCCGCGCGAGAAGCAGCTCCTTCGGCCCGGTTTGTCCAAACGAGCGAAGCCTCGAATGGATCTCGGTGGTCCTTTCGTGTTCGCCAAAAGCCATCCAAAAGCGGGGTCCCAAGCAAAAAGAGTTTTAACCCATCTGGCACAACTCCATCAATTTGGTTTAGTCATCCCCTTTACTTTCCCACGCACAGAGAATGGTACCATCTACTTGTACTACCTCGATTGAACAGTTGCACGTCGCGAAGCTGTAAAACTGAGAATCGTTTCCACACCTCACAAACCACTCGGAGAGACTTCGAACATTTCAACCCGCTGCCGAGCTCCAGCGGACCACGTGAGCCGATAGCAACAGAAGCTGGTTCTTGAGATGCTGGGCCAAACGGATCCCACCCCCAAAAGGAGAAAACTCCTTTGCTGGTTGAAAGGGAAAATGCAACGGAATCAAAGCGAAAAGTTACAAAAAGGCCAGTTGAGTCTAGCAATGAAAGGGCAGCCCGGAAAATGGATGGTGTCCATTAAGTCACCTCCAAACCAAACCCCAAAGGGTACCCCTCAAACAAAGACACACCTCGCATCATGCCAGTCCTCTTCTTCTCGCAGCTCGATCTCCGCGGTCTTCCCCTACCAGGCGGGATGGAATGGGCCATCCGAGTTTTAACGCCCAAAGTCGTGGTACATGTTGTTCAGCGTGCTCAGGCTCATTGGGCGGTGCGGCGGAGGCGGTGACGATGCCAAGAGTGGGATCCCTGTTTTTGCACATTGCAGCGAGGCTTTGTTGGCGGGTGTCTCTTGGAGCTGAAGGCTGTCATACCGAAACAGCGCATCCGGATAAGTCATGCCCCAGGTCACCTGCGTCTGCAATGGCAACACGATACTGGCCAGTTCAACAGGTGAAGTGGACTTGTTTGGAGCCGTTGCAAAGGGCCTGACAAGTTCCTCATGGCCGCGCGCTCCAGCAATTTGACATCTCGCTTGGTGAGTGTGTCCAAATACGGAGACCCTACAAACGAGGTAATGCTGGGGTTTCCCTTCAAACCAACCACCCGACAATTCTGGTCGACAACATCATCTCGCCGAACCAAGCCCATGCCTGGCTGCGCATCCTGGGCGGGTGTTTGACTTCTGGAGGTTGCTTAGTTTACTTGCAGATTTGGGGTCAAAACAACAAAATGAAATTGTGGGGAAGTTCAAGCCAAACTTAATGATGAACATAGGAGCAGCATGTTGGTCATTATGCAGCCCCCCATTGCTCAATTCAAGTTAAGTCATGGTTTTATGAGCAACCAGTTGTTGTTGATTCAGCCCCTCGTGGTACAAGACAACTTTAAGTCATGATCATAGAAAAAACAGGTTAGTAATTGTTCAGCCCTTCATGGTTTAAGTTAAATTATGTTCATACGAGCAGCATATAATTGTTTGGCCCTCCATCGCTGGAGCCAAAGTAAGCAGCTAGAAACTGTTCAGCCCCTCTTTGTTGAAGCCAACTAAGTCACAATCATAGAATGAACCCTCATCCTTTCTCATCTTTCAAGGCAAATCAAATCATCAAGGTTTATCCTTTTGCTCCTTTTGGGAAAATAAAGGGAGCCTCAAAGGTTGTCCTCCGTATTTGCAGGGGCCGTCATTTTGCCAACAGG